ATATCATAGTCCTATGCACTTGCTACTTCAACAGAGCTATCACCAGATCAGAGTAGGATTCAAATTATTTAATGTGTGGATTGAGCATGAGTCCTTTATGGAAATGGTGGATACAATCTGGGAGCAGGAATATGAAAGTGAAGTAATGAGAAGAATATGGTATAAGTTGAAGGCTCTCAAGCTAATCTTGAGGTAATTGAATAAGAAAGAGTTCCAATTCATAGGCTAGAAGATTGAGAAGGCAAGAAGTGAACTTGAAGAACTACAAGAGAAGCTTTACAATCAGGCACAAGATAATCTAGTTATTAAAGAGAAGGAATTATTAATACAGCTGGAAAAATGGTCAATGCAAGAAGAAAATGCTTTAAGGCAAAAAGCAAGACCTAGATGGATCACTTTGGGGGATACAAACAACAAGTATTTCAGCTCAGTGATAAAGGAAAGGAATCAAAAGAAGCATATAAGGAGTATATTATCTCTAGATGGAAAGATGGTGTATGAGCCTCAGGAGATTCAAGAGGAGTTTGTCAAATTCTATAAAAGTCTTATGGGGTCCTCAGCAGGTGAGCTTTCAGCCATCAATGCTCAGGTGATGAAGAGAGGTCCAGTGTTATCAAGGCAACAAAGAATTCAACTGTGCACAGATGTAACAGAACAAGAGATATATACAGCATTGCAGTCTATTGGGAATGATAAGGCACCAGGCATAGATGGTTATAATGCATTATTCTTTAAGCATACATGGAAGATTGTTAAAGAAGATGTTATTACAACTGTCACACAATTCTTCACAACAGGGAAATTGTTTAAGCCTTTCAATTGTACTCTTGTGTCTCTAATTCCAAATGTGCAAAGTCCTAAAACTGTGAAAGAATACAGACCTATAGCATGTTGTACTGTGATCTATAAAATCATTTCAAATGTGATAACAAGGAGAATGCATGATGTTATGCCTGATATTATTTATGAAAGTCGGGTTGGCTTTATACCAGGGAGGAAGATTGCAGATAACATTATATTGGCTCATGAGCTGGTTAAATCTTATACTAGGAAGAATATATCTCTTAGGAGTATGATGAAGATAGACCTACAGAAAGATTATGACTCAGTTGAATGGCCTTTTTTAGAACATGTAATGAAGGTCTGGGATTTCCAGACATGTTTATTCAATGGGTAATAAAGTGTGTGAAAACAGTGAATTACACTATTGTTGTGAATGGGCAAACTACTCAGAGATTTGATGCAGCAAAAGGACTTAGACAAGGTGATCCTATGTCACCAATCCTGTTTGCTATAGCAATGGAATATCTTAGTAGATTACTCAAAGGACTCAGAGAAGAGAAAATGTTCAAATACCATCCCAAATGCTCTAAGTTGGCCATAACTCATCTATGCTTTGTAGATGATCTTCTATTTTTCTCAAGTGGTGATCTGGAATCTATCAAGATGCTACAAAGATGTTTTTCAGACTTCTCTCAAGCCTCAGGATTGCAAGCAAATCTTACAAAAAGTTCTATTTACTATGGAGGAGTGCAAATAGAGATAAAGCAACAGATTATGCAACAGATGGGCTATACAATGGAGGAACTACCTTTCAAATACTTGGGAGTTCCCCTCTCGACAAAGAAGCTGAGCATAATACAATGGTAATCCCTCATAGACAAGATCATGTCAAGAATCAAGTCGTGGACAGCAAAAATATTGTCCTATGCTCGAAGAACACAACTGATTAAGACTGTCTTGTTTGGAGTTCAATCCTACTGGGCACAGTTATTTATCATACCAACTAAGATAATAAAAGTGATTGACGGACTATGCAGAAGCTACTTATGGTCAGGGGTTGGAGATGTTACAAAGAAGGCCTTGATAGCATGGGAGAAAGTGTGTTGTCCTAAAAGTAAGGGAGGCATAGGACTGATTAATATGAAAATATGGAATAGAGCTGCGATTGCTAAATTGTGCTGGGATCTAGCTAACAAGGAAGATAAACTCTGGATCAAATGGATTCACACATACTATATAAAAGGACAAAGAGAGTGGCAGAGGAGGAAACAAGCAAGCTGGATGGTACAAAAAGTCATGAGTGCTCAACAAAGTGTGGAGCAAGTCCAGCAGCAACAAAGGAAGAATAAAGGGATGGTTAGACAACTTTATGAACACATGAAAAGAGAACAACAAAAGCCAGTATGGACCTATCTTATGTTCAACAATGCTGCAAGACCAAAAGCTTATTTCACAATGTGGATCATGCTGAATCAAAGGCTGGTGACAATAGATAGACTAACTCAGTGGGGAATTGAAGTAGAGAAGATTTGTGTGATGTGCAAGAATGAAGAAGAAACTGCACACCATCTATTTATACAATGTAATTATGCAAGAAGAATATGGGAGAGATTGTTAAGCTCAATAGAGAGACAAACTGAAGCTCTAATGACTTGGGAGCAATTTGTACAATGGTGCATTATGCATGGAAAAGGGAAGAGGGCAGCTGCACAACTGTTCAAGGCAATGCTTGCTAAAGGTATCTATAGATTAGGGATGCAG